AACACTTCCTCTTATCTTGTAAGGATCCCATCCATTTTACACAGCATCCCCTGGAAGTCCCTTGAACCCCAGTGTCCCAGCTTTCCTGTGTGCACATGAATCGACTTACTGCAGAGTACTGCATATCTCTGAAAAAGAAAGGGCAAACACGCCCCATGAGATCTAGTTGTGGATGACCTCCAAGAAAAGAACAAGGAGATGGTCCTCTCTGGAAAGCAGGGCCTCTCCTAAACCCAGTGATTCCCACCCATTGTCTCAGTGGAACTATTCTGTGTCCTATAAGACCCCTATACTCTGTACTGTGTGACACTCTTCCTGAGGAGAATGACAAGACATCTGCTCATCTCAGATAGGGAACCTTTACAGACCAAAGTAAGGACACTGGAAAGTCTGACCTGGTGGACCAATGCAATTTATTGGAGTTATTTACAGGAATATGGGTGAGAGAAGAAATGACTCAAAGATTGCTGCATCTCACCAAAGCCCACCCAAGCATAAGTGACAGCTCTCGAAAGCTGTAAACATAAAGGGCACTGTTGGAGGGTGTCCTTTCCAGATAGCTCAGCTGGTCTGACACTCTGTCCAGACAGCTCTGCTGGTCTCTGCTTCTTCCATACTGTTGACCAGGCCTGAGCCTCTTCTTAGCAGCTCAGTTTATCTGAGACTGTCTCTCAGCAAACCTCAATTCTTATACATGCTTTTGGGAATAGAGAGGCCTAGTGAGTCTGCTCAATTTCGGGAACTTCCTGAAGGTGTTTTGAATTGTCTACTTTCTGAGCTTAACAAGCTTCCCTGCAGGATGGACTATTTCACCTCCTCTTAGAACATCCCATTGTTTCACCTTCCTATAAACACCTTAAGATATCCCACTGTTCATTTCCCCATTAACATTCCATGTCTTAATGAGCCTCCCTCCAAGATGAAAGGTTTAAATCTGGAAGGAAACTTCTATACAACACCTTGGACCACTGAAATAGACCTGAAACTCTGAAGTCTTGAATTGCCTCCCACCAATTTATCTTTTGTTATGTAATATTATTATTACTTCTTTGGGGATTTCACTCATGTATGCAATGTATTTTTATTATATCCACCCCCTAATTCCTCCTGGGTCCATTCATCTCAATCCCTCCCAACTGTGTGTGCATGTATCTCTCTCTCTCTTTGTCTCTCTGTTTTTAATAATCAACTGAGTCCAATTTGAGGGGCCATTTACTGGAACACGGGACCACACCCTTAAACAAAACCGAATCTCTTTCCTTGCTTCCCCAAGCCATCAACTGTCAATAGACCCTCAGCTCAGAGTGAGAGTTCATAGGCCTCTCCCCTCCCCATGCTGAAATGTTGACTGCCTTGATCTTATGCAGGCTTTGTGCAGGCAGCCACAGCTGCTGTACAGAGGTCCTGTTGTGCCCAGAAAATGTCGTTTCACTCTGGTCCTCCCTGACCTCTGACTCTTACCATCCTCACTTCCACAGTGGTCCTTGATAAGCCTTGTGGAAGAGTGTGATATAGATACCCCGTTGCAGCCGAGCATTGCACAGGCATTCAATTTTCTGTATTCTGACTAGTTATGAGTTCCATATTAACCACCATCCATGGCCCAAAGAAACTACTCCGGTGATGCCTGAGAGCTACATTGTTCCATGAGGTCCTGCACACCCTTCATCTTACCAGGAGCCCAGCTCTCTGCTTTTCTCCAATAGCTGCTCCTACAAACCTTGTTTCATCTCCAAATGGCACTTGTGTTTTCCAGACACACTTGTAGCTGACTCCCATGCACCTGTCAAGGCATTGGCAGCTCGACCTATTTCCGTTTCTATACACATCTAGAAATATCGTTGCCACCCACCCTCCCTTCCCCCTTCTCTTCTGGATGTGAACCACATTACTTGTTCCTGTGTGCTGTGCTCATGGGCTGCCGTTTTGCCTCCATAAATAGATTACTCGCCCCTCAGGGGATGTTTATGAATTATACTTAAACATTGCTGACCAAGTGGAAGAACCCTATCAATTATTTTCCTTTTTCCTCTTTATTGAAAATTTGAAACTTGACTTATGACTTAAAATGAAAAAAGAAAAATATAGGATAAAAAATAGAAAGATGGGGAAAAAAATCCACAACCCCCACCTATAACTTGGTGTTTGGAATCTGAGGTTTGGATTGCTCATCTCTCTCCTGCAGGCCTCTCTTCCCTTCAGATATTGAATAAAAGGGCTGCTGCTTGATTCTAAGCCTGGGTGAGAAAGGATGCGGCAGAAAGTACTTTCCCTACTGCCCCTACTGTTCTTTTTTTTTTTTTTCTGGGTCATTCTACAGAGGTTCTAGGCTAATATTCTTTTTTAATGTGTTTAAGTAATTTTTTTCATAAAATATATTTGATCGTGATATTTCCTGCCCCAGTTCCTCCCAGATTGTCCCCACCTCTAAACCCACTGAACTTCATGTTCTCTCCCTCTCTCAAAATAAGTAAATAAATAAACAAAATAAGCATTAAAAATGAAAAATAAGGCAAACATAAAAGATCAAAATATGTCTAAACAAATGAAACAATACACATACACATACAAATAAATAATTCAGCAAACCTTAGGGTCTGTTTTGTTTGTGTTGGCATGGGGCCTGCCCTGGCGTGTAGTTGGTTGCTATACCCAGTGGCACTCCATTAGAAAAAAAAAAACTGATTGATTTTCCCTTTGCCAACAGGCATCAGTTGCAAATGTCTTCTTGGCTGGGTGGGGAGCCCTGTGTCTACTTGCCCACTCTCTGTTGGGATCTCACCTAGCTTGAACTTGGAGAGGTGATGCATGTGCTTTCACAGTCTCTGTGTGTTCCTGTGTATCTGTCTCGTTTAGGTTGACATGTATAACAGAGGCAATTGTTCTGTTTTTCTGGTCACTGTCCCTTGGTAGCTCTGTGTATTCTCTGCAGAACAGCAAAGAGCTAGTGAACACCAGTGGCCTTTTATTACTATAGTGCCAACTTTGCCAGCATTGTCTTCACCCATCCACCACACACACAGTCAAATTAAGCTGCTTCCTCTACCCCTCTCCATGTTTACTCTTCCACGGTATTCCTGCTCTAGAAATGCAGCCTCCTCACGGCCATTTTCTACAGTCAAATTGACCATCTCCCTTCTTTCTAACGAACCCTTGCACACGTAGTCATTCATTCTTCAGCATAAGTCATGTTGATTCTTACATTTATCTTCCCACCAAACTCAATGTTATTCAGAGACTACAACTAGGCACTGGTATTCCTTGGATCTTAAGATTGGCACAAAGCCTTCATAGTCTCCATACACCTTGGAAAGCCTTTGCTGAGCTCAGGGTGGGGATGACTGGTAAAGACATTGTTAGAGAAGGGAATTTTACAAGCCGAAGCCAAAGGGAAAGAAAATAATGTCAGATGACAGCACGTTAACTCTATGGCTATTAGGGCAAATACAGATTTAATTCTGTTCTGTTACAGTTTAGAGGGGGTGGGGCTGGTAAGAGTGTGGTGAATAGGGCTGTGGGATAGATTGCTTCCTAGTCCATACTAAGGCCTTACGTCATCCATCCATTCCCATACTCACTCGGCATGTGTTCCTTCACGCAAGCACTACTAAAATGTATACACTGCAAAATATAGAGACTGTATGCGCCGTGTGAAATACTGAGAATGTAAATGCAAATACGTAAGTAAAAACAAGGCATAGTTCCTACCTTCGAAGAATTTACCAGCTACTGGGAGATTTTATAGAGAGGATGTAGATTCTGTAGGTTCTGATGCCAGTAATGAAGCACCAGTTTGTACTGGTACCCATAAGCACTAAAAAGACACAGGGGACATCTCTCTGTGGTTCTCAGGCAGTCAGGACGAAGGGATCCGGAAACTGAGCAGAGAAGAAAGCTGGTACGATTACTCGGCCACTCTAAGCAGGTTTCTCATGCAAGCCTGGTTCCTTAAATAACAGGGATAGAGAGACTTCGAAGCTTACCAGGGAGTCATCTAGAAGAAAATGGAGCACAAAATCCAATAGACTTATGGGTTAGGGTTAGAGAAGCCGGAAGCTGTGGGCCGCTAAAAGAACAGGGGTGCTGCAGAGGAGGAGTGCGACATGAGCTACTTCACCTCTCAAGGCATCCATTAATCACCAGACAAAAACGGATAAAGGAACAGGAACCTAAAGCCAGGAGAGCGTAGAGATTAACAGAGTCCTCTATAGGAAGGACCTGCTCCATAAACACTCTGGCTTCCAGCTAGGCAGCTCTTAAGGACGGCACTGAAAGAGGGAAGGACCCCAGAATAGATGTATTCTTTTTATTAAAGACTTCTAAAGAAATTCATTCTTTGAATAGATGATCCTGATCAGATTCAAGGCACTGCCCTCATTCTAGCTCTGTTATAGATACCGAGGACACATCAAAAACCTTTGTAATCTTCCTCGTGTGGTGTTTATTTAATCTAAATTAACAAACCTATCAAGAAGCAGAAGCAAGGAGCAGATAATAGAGACATATATGTGAGTGACCCAGGTGGTCCAGTGGTCAGATAGGTCTGTGGTAGCCTGATTAGCTTATTTGAGAAGACAGATTTCTCACTTCTCATGGAACTGGCATTTGAATCTATCTGTGAGGAGTCCTTCAGAGTTCAGCCTAGTAAATACGTTACAAAGAACTTGGAGTTCAGATGCAGCTCATTGCCCCCGTGATCAGAAGGACAGGAACACAGCAATTATGGTGGAGTTGAGGCCGACCTACTTACTGGAAAGAAATGGCCAGTTGGCCTCCATTCGATGGGAAATCAGAGGGTAGATTAGGATAAGCCTCCTGGTGGTCAGGACTAGATCAAGTTTAGAAGAGAAAGGAAAAGAAAGAAAAAGAAAGAAAGAAAGAGAGAGAGAGAGAAAAGAAGAAGGAAGGAAGGAAGGAAGGAAGGAAGGAAGGAAGGAAGGAAGGAAGGAAGGAAGGAAGGAAAGGAAGGAAGAAACCTTAATTTTGTTTATCTATTTTAGGATTTCTTCAGTAAATCTGACCCATTTCTGGAAATTTTCAGAATGAATGATGACGCAACTCAGCAGCTTGTGCATCGAACAGAGGTAAGGAGTCTGTGTGCCCCCTCTGAGATCAGCTGGGCTGCTTTGGGAAGTGCCCACATTCCTTTGCTTTTTAATGTAAAATATTTTCAGTTCCTTAAAATGAAAATATAATTGTACCATGTTCCGCTTCTCTGTTCTCCCTCCAAACCCTCCCATGTACCCCTTTGCTCTCTCTCAAATTCATGACCTCCTTTTCTTTAATTGGTGTATGTGTGTATGTGTTGCCAAAAATAGAAATACAGCCTGCTTAATCCATAAAATGTTGCTCGTTAAGATTTCAGAGCTGACCACTTGGTATTGAAAAACCAAAACCAATTGCAGGTCCCATCTTTGGGGAGACTATTTCTCTAGCTCTCGCCATTATTTGTTATATGTGGTTCATTGTCTGTAGTTGGGGGGCCGTAAGGTGTCCGCTTCTGCGTTAGCTACCTACCTGTAGACGGAAATTGAGGACTCCTCTCTCCTCCACACTTTAGGTTTCGGTTTTCACTCTAATTTAAAAAATCATAGGAAAAGACTCCCCTGTGTATCCAACTCCCCATGGTTGACTTTCCCATGTATTCATTACAAATTAGGAAGACTAGGGCCAGCAGGGTGGAAAGGAGAAGAGTTCTTCTCTGACCTCCGTCCATGCCCTTCAACAGTGGGCAACAGCATGTGCACATTCGTGAATGCCCCCATGCACACACACACACACACACACACAGTCATGTAGAAGACATCAACCATGACAGGAGCTAACATTTAATGAGGCGACTGGGAACGAAGCATTATCTGAAATGACTTACATGCATTATTTCACTTCTTATTCCTTGGTAGGAATACTGTTAGCACTGCTCTGCAGTCGAAGGAACCCGGTTTGGGGGGCGGTTACACAGTTGGCAAAGGCTGGGGCCGAGGCTGTTTGACTCAGCTTCACTAATTTTGCAAGGCGTTCTGCTTCCCTAGGGAGAACACATAGCCCGGAGATGTGACATGACTTCCCCTTCCACCCCGTTATCGCAGCCACTGGGTCAAACTGCTTTTATTATCCTTCTCCTTCTCACCTATACTCTCTCCAAACATCCCTCTGTTCACTGCTTTTATCATCACTGTGCCCACATCCTTGGCAGAAGCAACAGAAAGGGCTTTGCTTCTGTCCTCGTCAGGGAATACTCTTTACTTTGGGAGAGGAGGCTGAGTAGCTGGAGTGGCACTGTCCAAGGCCCAGAGGCTTTAAGGGGGACATAGCTATATCTTGGAGGATCAGGAAGCAAAGCTGGGACCACAGACAGAGCCCTGCCTTGCAGTCAAGGTCTCCTAGCTAGGCAGCATTTCCCAAGGTTTCCACAGGCTCTCAAAGGATGCCAAAAGCTAGGAACAGTATTGAAATACATAAGTCTGTGGATGACATTTGGGAGCCACATGTAACAGGTCCTGAGCTCATCCTTTCATACAGTAAACCCTTGGTATGACTATCTCACACATACAGTTGGTGCCTCTGATGATTACTCTCAATTGTCAGCTTGATGGGATTTAGAATCACCTAAAGAAAAGGGGTTGGGGGGAGGCACTTCCAGGAAGGACTGACTATCGTGGGAAGACCCGTAGTGGGTGCGAGCAGCACAGATCCATGGGCTGGAGTCTCAGAATGAATAAAGAGGGGAACACAGCAGTGTCAGTATTCCTCTTCCTTCTCTCTCTCTCTCTCTCTCTCTCTCTCTCTCTCTCTTTCTCAGCTCTCTGACTTCACACTCAGTGACCTCACAGGCAGTGTGAACTCACGTTTCCTCTGCCATGCTTTCCCTGTTACACTGACAAAATAAAACTCTCCCTATGTTCCCTGCTTTGGTCAGGTATTCAGGAAAAGTCATTAATACAGCAGCCAACACCAATCTCTGTTATTGTATTTTATTAGATTTGTAAGCCAGAGAATGAGGAATTCTATAAGAAGGAAATAGAATAATTGTGCTGAAGCTTAGAGAAGGAATTGTATGTGTCAATGGCAAAGGAAAGCAGAGGGAGCACCCATGATTTTCATGGGGTGACAGTGGGGGCACCATATTCCTACCATTTCACTTGGAAAATCCAGTTCTGCTTTCTTGAAACAGCAAAGGAAAATTCTCCTGCTGTTCTTAAGGTTGGCAACAATGAAATGGTCTCAGACGGGCCAGTGATATCTATAATCTGGCACATGGGTGGCACCGAAATATGTCCTTCATTAAGGAATATAAAAGTGACTAGAACTGGCTATATTAGTGGAGTACCTTGTACATGCAGAAGAACAATATGTTTGTCTGGGCTCCAGTCCTGGAAAATCGACCGAAGGTTACAGGTTCCTTGAGAGTCCCTCTATTACCATCACCAAATACTCTTTTCTTGCTGATATAAAGATTTCTATGATAAAATAAACTTTGGAGAACACTGAGATAGTGTCCTTTCATGCCTTTCTGTGGGAAGTGAATGAATAAAGGAGAAGTATATGAATAAAGGAACAGTATATTGTTGGATTCTTCTCTCCTGAGATCCTTCTTTCTATGGCTCCTGGAAGTGTTCTCCAGTTGTTGATAGTGGTAATATTTCTGTTCCTAAGAAATTCTGCAATTTCTGTCACCTGTCCCAGGGATGGAGAATTCTTGGAATCTCTTAATAGTGTAGAATACAAAGCTTTCTAACGTATCAAAGAGCATAGCATTGATGGTTCCTCTTTCTTACACACACACACACACACACACACACACACACACACTCACACATGTATACTCATGCATGTATACATATAGATTGGAAATTTTAGCTAAAGCTTTTATCTGCTATTGATGTTTCCTAAATATCTTCACTCCTTAATACTGTAGTAAAAATGTTTATAGTAAAAATGAGAAATTAAAACAAACACAAGCTATGTTATCTGATTCTCCTTCTCACAATAATTTGATCATGCCCAAGGTATCGGAAGACAAGACAAAATCACAAAGGAACATTGTTTCTGTATTTTAATATGTTAAAATAAATTTAATAATGAATCTATGGTCTAATCAATAATTCATAGTTATAATAAGGAATTCAGTAGACATGGGAATCATTTCTGAAATAATTATGTCATTTGGAGACAGAATTATTTTTTTCTAAAAATAAATCCACAAAGACGTCTACCTAAAAGCTTCATAGGAGGAAAGGGTAACATGACAGAATGCAATTTTTATTGTGTGTTCCCTTAGCCTTCATTCATCAGATAACATGTAAAACCTCCCTCAAAAGTCCTATAGAACTGGGGAATATTTTCTCAGAGGACAGAGGCACCCTTGCCTCAACCCTAGAACCTTTTGATATAGAAGAGGCCATCTATATCCACAAGCTCGGCAATATCATTATCCTTATTCATGAAACAACATCCGGGCCAGTGACCACCACAGTTCTACCCATAATGACCTACTTGGTGGCCACTCTTAAAACAGTCACTACTCTCCAGTTTTCATCAAGCTACCTGTTCCAGACACTTGTCCTTTTCATAAGAACCACAGTGGCTTCTCGAGTGGTTTTCAAGTTGAAGTATGAAAATGTCAAGCCTTCCCTCTTCAAATCACTCTTCATGTCTTTCTCTTCCCAGGTTGTGATGAATAACTTAAGCCCAGCCTGGAAGTCATTCAAAGTGTCGGTAAATTCTCTCTGCAGCGGAGATCCAGACCGCAGGCTAAAGGTTAGATCCATATCCAAGAGATGTGAATTTGAAAATGCATTGAACCCTCCTCCTCCTCCTTCTTTTCACATGAACATTGGCACACAGAATTTTCTGTGCCGCTTTTCCAACCCTCTCGCCTTTTAGCATCTTAATGAAGGAAAGAGAAGCTGTTACTTCTGTGAGAGCTATTGACGGCTCATACAATGGCCCCAAAATAAATCCTAATGTATTATGTCAAAAAGACAGAGAGCCTGGGGCCTCTCAGACACAAAATGTGGTAATAACTTCAGAGTATAAGTGGAAGTTTCTAGAAGAAAAATATTTCTGCATCAAGTGTCTATTATTATATAATGTATCACCTGCCCTGCCCCAAAGTGTGGTCATTTGAAATAGTAAACATATTTAGCTTATAACTCTGTGCATTGGCAAACCGGGTTGGGCCAATCTTAAACCGGGCCTGCTTGATTTCTGCTAGGCATTCATGGTCTACTGCCCATGAACAGGGTGACGTCTTAGGGTTGGCAGGCTCTTTATGCGGTGGTAGAAGGGTTGGTGAAGTCTGAGCTCTCGTCATCATGCATACCAGGCTTTTATGTATAGTGACTGTGTGTTCCAAGAGCCCAAAACAGGAGCTGCAAGGCCTTTGCAAGGTTAGGAAGTCAATTACTTCCTCCACTGCTGAGAAGCCAATGCATGCCTATTCCAGATACAAATACAATGGGTTCTACCTCTCGGTGGGAAGAATTGGAAAGTGTTGGGACCATTGTTTTTAATCTACCACAAATTCCTTGAACACTATGGGGAAAAAAAGAAATGGGGGGGTGCACGGGGGGAAGCATTTCGTGCCCTGGGAGGAAACATAAGAGGGAGACAACAGAATACCAGAAATCTGTTCCTGGAGACACTTGCTGTGGTCTGTAGGCTGGTCTGCTCTTGACCTTGGAAGTATAAGAAGTTCCGTTGCTTACACCACTGAGCTGACTCTATCCACTCAGGATGACTAAGTTATTGGACACAAAGTGCCTATGAGCCAAAAGTCCCATTGGTTGACGTGATTATCAAGCAGAATCAGGGTCCTATCAGCTACTCCGGGGCACTGCATTGTGAGCAAACCAGAAGGAAGACAGATGTCAGAAGGTGAGTGGTAGGGAAACTGAGCCTGAAGGCACAGACAGGGATGCTGGGTAACTCAAGACATTCTATGGCTTCAGATTCTGAAGGTCAAGAGCATCTGCCTCCACATACGGATAAAAGGAACTGTCCACTCACCCCCCACGGAACAAATACTCCTAATAAACTTGTGAGATGGGCACTGCCTTCTTCTCTTTCCAGTTGCTGTGATAAAAAGTATTTTAACAAAAGCAACTTAAGGGAGAGAGTACTTATTTCAGCTCACAGGTCCAGGCTTACAGTCCATCATGTTTAAGGAGTTCAGGCACCAGGCACCGGAAGCAGCTGGTCACATGCATTTGCCGTCAGGAAGGAGTAAAGAATCATGCGTGCTAGCTTAGCTCACTTCCTCCCCTTAGACAGTTCAGGTTCGCCCACAATTAAAATGGGTCTTCTCACATCAATGGACACACGATCAAGACACTCCTCCAGAGGAACGCATGGGAGATCATCTCCCAGTTAATTCTCAGCGCTGCCTGGGTGACACTAGCCATCCTAGGCGCCGCTGCCCCTTGCCTTTGTGACTGTGTTCCCCTCCCCTCCTGTCACCCTGAGGACTTCGTTCTAATGGGTAAAATTCTCTTGGTTTCAGTGTTAGAATCCCACCCCTTCGGTTAGTCCTTGTCTCTTTAAGCTTGAGCATCTTCACTTAAAGCCCCCCTGTGTGGACTTTGTGGTTGAACTGTCAGTGAACTCGCCGACTTCCGTGTTGCTAACGACAAATCCAACTTTACCTCGATCTCTTACGAAAAACAAAGTTATTTCAGAGCAACCTCTGGAAACTCTTCTTTGTGCCCCACCCCCCAAAATGGGATTTCTGACTCGGTTTCTTGTTAGAAACTCCTTTTCAGGATGCCCGAGAGCTACAGCTTTGGGTAGGGTAGCAGTTACCAAGTGCGCTCTGAGCAGTCCCAGGAAGATAGCTGCTTTCCCTGGGCCAGGAATAAAACAGCACCTCCTTCTGTGTTTTGACATGGGGAGTTGTTGAAAGGGTAAAAAGAGGACTTAGTAGAGTTGAATGAATAAAAATGTAAATAAGGAAAGGAACCCATTGTGGGTTTTCCAGAACTCTATGGTCTCCATAGGAGCAAGAACTCAAAAGAGATGGATATGTAGATAATCAGGCGGAAAATAAAAGGAGGCAGAAATAAGGAATGAGAGTGAGCTAGAGAAAGAAAGAAAGAAGAAAAGAAGGAAGGAAGGAAGGAAGGAAGGAAGGAAGGAAGGAAGGAAGGAAGGAA